TCACTTTATGGTATAAAAAAAAATTAAACAGTGTAAAATTGAATATTAATTGCTTATTTTTTTTACATTCTTATTTTTTTTTACATTCACCTTACGTGGGAGGTGTTACAGACAAGATTGGAAGAGTCCTCAGGCGTGCATCTATCAAGACTATTTCAAGCCCCTGAGGAAGATTTCTCAGTTCCTGAGACCCGTGACATTTAACAAGCTTGACTGTGAGTGCGGTCTCTCTTATATTGGATAAACGAAGCGAAGTATTTGTACCCGCGTCAAAGAACATATAGCTGATGTCAAACACCGTCGCGTAAACAAGTCCAACAGGGAAATTGGTTTCTCCGTACCACCAGTTTGGGATCCTATATTTCCTCTGATGAAAAATCCTAAACAGACATAAGACTGCAATCCTAATTAATATGTTTTAATTTATTAATTAATAATAAATTGAACTTAATAAAAAATCATTCAATAAAATAATTTGTAAAACGTAATATAGCGTAAATTGGAACGTTTCTTTGTAAAATTAAAAACAAAGTATTCAACTAATAACTTTTGTAACTACAGTGAAAAAATAGGTGGTTTGCATTAATATTAGATATAACTGTTGATGGCCCGAAACGTCAATTTGTTTGAAAAAACAAACATACGCGATTTAAATCCGGAAAAATAGTTTCATTTCCTATGAGTAACAATCGTGAAAACCTAAGAACTTGATTTTTTTGTTTAATAACGCATTACAAGAGCATTAAAAGAGACGCAAAAACCTGTATAATACAATAAAAAAATACAATATAAAATAACATCTTGGTTTCTTATGTTATTACTAGATGTTACTTTTAGTAAATAAAAATTTTTGTTCACATTCATCATTTACACCATTTAATTCAGATATCATAGCCAGAAAGTTCCTGAAAGATATATATGGGCCACTGTACCGTGCCATTAAAGTATTAGACCTCGTAAATAGCTAATTTTCACTATTACCAGGATTCTTATTACAGAAGCGTATCTATACGATCCATTTTAAATGAATTTGTAACTTTGCTGTTTGTTTGTTGAAGACCTGTCTTCCGAATAAGCAAATACGTTGTAATTTCTCTACCCTAAAATGTTTACTAACACGCTGCCCTGGCTTAGGGCGCATTTGATAAGTAACTTTTATTTCTATCATTTTTATTTCATTGTTACGCATATTTAACATTCGTTTTTCCTGTTGCTATGAACTATGCAAATTTTCTTATGATACATTTTTTATTTATATACAAATAACGCTTAGTTCATTCATCGGAAAAAAAAAATATCTTCGTATTGTCTGAAGATATTAAAATTATCTTCATTCCAATGTCAACGTTTATTGCTGACGATAAGGTAATATAAGTTATTTTTTTTTGATGATACATTATTGAATATTAGAATATCTATCATGATAGAACGTGGCTTTTTCTAAAAGTCTAACATTAATGCATTCAACCGTTTATTTTTTTGTTAAACAACAAAAACACGGAACAGAGAGACTCTTTGTAAGCATTTTCCTAAAGGTAAAATGTTTTCAGCAAGGTCAACCATCTTGGCATAATTTTATAGAACACTCTGGTACCCTTTTGCTTTTGCTGCATATACTAACTTCGCTTGTTATAAAAACCGTGATATTCTTAGTACAAACCTTGAGGAATATTTTGGGTTTGGTATTTGTACCACTCGGATTTGTTTCTATGTTTTACCTATAACCACTTTTTAGGAAATTTTCGACTCCTGCGGAACTTCTGAGACCCAGTGTTGGGATAGAAACTTATCTTCTTATATTAGAATAATACATATGCATAACTTTTCAATATGAAAAAATATATTTTCCATGCTATGTTGCCTACATGTAATTGCAAAATTTAGCAGCAAATCTATTTGTTTTAGACTAGCTTATTTTTCTGACATTACTACTGTGTTGTAAAAGTAATTTTTAATAAAGAGTATTTTGTTTAATTTGTTGTTCTCATTTATCCCATGTCATTATTTACGTTCATTTTCATTTTGTATCAGTGATGTTTCTTGAAATTGTGGTGGAAATTTTGACTAATTAGTAATTTGATTGTCACAAGAACTCAGTCTCTTTTTATATTTATGATTTTTAATTAATTTTTAGGTGCGGCCTTTGTAGGTACGTTGTAGAATGTGACAAGTCAATGTCGGTCGACAGTTCCTACTACGCCAAATCGATCTGCGTTGTTGTCCGGTTCGTCACTGAACGATGGAACAATTGACGATCAATCTCGGGGTATATTTTAGAAAGTACTCGAGAGCCCATTCTAAGCGTTATTAAACCATTAATTATCGATTAACATCATCGATCGATGGCTTTGTTTCGAGATTCTTGATTGGTGTGGCGACACCCTTATTTGTTTTCAACCATTTCCAGCAATGGCAGAATATCAGCGAGGATATATTACATAGTGAGTTTGTTTTTCAATTAATATACATATATTGTCTTTTTATACATTGCATGTCAATTAATATAAGAAAGGATAACTTAGATTTTTTATATTTTATTACAAAATATGTGAATTCGGTTTTTTAAATGAAATCAAGTTAAATTAAATGAAACAGGTTATTAGGGTGATATTGCACTCTCAATAATAAAGCGATGAAGAGGGGATTCTTGAACGTTTGGATGACGACACCAATTTAAAAATCTCCCAAGTCCGTTATTACAAAGTACTAGGTTGAGGGTAATCGGCGGTACTACTTTTTTTATAATACTAACTGACGGGACGAACAAGTCGTGTGACTGGTGGTAAGTGACACGCCTACCCCTAACAATTGCAGTGCCACTTAGAGCTTTAAATCACAAAGATCTGAGGGGCACTGCCACTGTGCCCAACACCCTGGAACATAAGTTGAAAAGTCCCAAATGCCTGTAATTTCACCAGCACCCTTACCCTTCAAAACCGGAAAACAGTAATTACTACTTGGCGTCAGAAATAAGTAAGGTAACAGTACTTCCCTGGATTAACTCTTTCACAAGGAGCTCTACTGCTACTACGTATTTATACAAAAAAGTTTCAATTTAATCGATAAGATAGATCCTGGCAGATGTTTCATTCAAGTATTTATTATATATTTATTATTGTACAAGGATTCAACTCTTTTAAACAAATGAATAACACCGATGTACTCTCACATAACAAAATTCGGTCCACGTAGAGACCGTTCGAGAGAAAAATCTTAACACTTCGATACAGAATTTAGATAAAATGTGTCAATGCCATCTAGCGGATTTTTAGGAAACTACATGATTAGCACAGTTAAAGAATTCTATTGTATTATATGGTATGACGTAACGGGCTGATTTTCAAGACTCGACGCCGCCGAGGTAGCGCCCATTTTGCGCGTGGAAAAATGATAAAAATAAACTAATGTATTGTTTTTCACATCAAATATAATTTTAACATCTGAATATTTAGTTTGGTCCAGTATAATGGCATAATATCCAGTGCAAAGTAAGTTTCTTTAAATCTTTTTATTAGTTTCCCGAATTTTTCAATTACCTTTCAAAATGGGTCTCTTTATTATTGAACAATCATTTGTATTTTAATTTGAATCATTATTTCTAAGAACAAAGAATATTTTTCTCTTTCTCTAGGTACATTATAAAAATACATTACATTAAATGAAAACGAGTATTGTATGAATAAATATTCATTGTCAATATTATTCACGAGTAAAAGGTTTAATTAATATGCCTCACGAGATTGTGAACATGAAAACGGAATTGGTAATTGTTAAATTATTGTTTTTACGTTATTATTGGAGTGTTCGGTTAGTTGATTAAAATTTTTAATAAGTTCCAATGACGTCTGTATTTTTTAACATTTCGAAAAATTTCTTTTGTATACACCGTGACTTTTTAATTCCTCTTCTTCTTCTTCTTTTTGTCGGTGTCTTGCAGTCTTTTGGGGAGGCCTATGTTCAGAAGTGGACTTCTTTCTGATATTATGGGATTATGATAATGAAATAGAAATAAATACGAGTTTGTATAACATTTATGATAAAAATTGAGGACAGCATTCTGGGAAGGGACAGTGATCTGCACTCCAAAACACGAATCGTAGATGTTGGCCAACAAACGGGTGAATAAAATGGGACTAAGCGGGCCACGTATGCCGTATATCGGACGAGTCGTGGGCGAAGGCCACCACAGAATGGATTCCCAAAGATAGAAAACGACTATGCAGCAAGCCAAAGCATCGATGGAGAGACGAGCTAAACGCGCACCTAAAAGACTAGACCTCGGTGGCACAAAACAGAGAGATGTGGATGGACGAGAAGCAGGCCTTTGCCCAGCAGTGAAACAGTACAGGCTTTAAAAAAATGCAATGTAAATTTATTATTGGATTTTTTGTGAAATAACTCCAATAGTTGTTATAATTATTAGTAGAAAAATTACTTGGACCCGGTAGGACTCGAACGTACGACCGTGCTGTACCATAGCATTGCTCTCACCAACTGAACCACAGGTCAAGTTACCGAGTTGTCGAAATTCTCCTATATATTTTTGTTATAGATCATTTTGTACGGCATTCGTCACCACTAGTGACATCTAGTGAGAGATTTTTGAAACCTTCTGCAACGTAAATTGTTTTATTGTCTGAATAAGACAGCAAATTTTGTCTGTTAAGTATAATTCACACTAACACACAGTAACAATTTCACATTTGGATGTCAGTAACAATTAATAAAATCTATAACATCTGCTAGCATTGATATCTGCAGTAGAAGTACTAAATTATTACTGCCTGTAAATCTATCTTCAGACTCCAATTCCTCTGGCAATTGTTCATAGTCTATTCTCTTAAATAATATACCATAATAGCAAAACAACATGTATGTCTATACAGAGTCCGTTTGTTACACTAGACAATGATTCATAGAAAAGGTTTTTCTCATGTTCGTAATATTTTTCTACAAGTAATCTTTTTCATTTAAATGTAGCTAGTATAAAATGTTCTTACCTGGCGAACAATTAGCATGTGTGGCGACTATGGCTGCGTATTTGTTAGGATCAGCCACAAGAGACCATGGGCTGAGACCTGATCCTGACATCAGGATCGCTCTGTGAAAGAGGAGACCTGTAATAACAGAAAGATTGTAATTAGTTTAAATTTATGATATCAAATGACGGGTCGAACAAGTTATGGGCCTGTAGTGCGATTCACATAAGTTCTAATGCGGTAAGGTTTAATGCGGCTAAGACACAGGCGTGTCTTTTCACATCAAAACGGAGTCCCCTATACCTTACTCCGACTTTCAGAGATGTATCCGTGCCGATAAGGGACCACCTTGAGCTACTTGGTCTGGACTTATCATCCAACCTTAACTTTGAGCGATACATCGGGTGCTTGGCAAAAACTGCTGGCAGAAAACTAAGCATACTTTACAAGGTCAGGCGGTACTTCACACCTGAACAGCTTTTAAATCTGTATAAAGCACAAGTTCGATCCTGTATAGAGTACTGCTGCCACCTTTGGGACGGCTCTGCCCATCACCAGTTAGATGCCTTGGACACGGTGGAGCGAAGAGCAAATTATTAACAATAATTCTAGAGTCGAAGCTTCAAAATCTCGACCATCGCAGAAAAGTAGCCTGGTTGTCGGTTTTCTATCGGAGTGTGCGCAGGAACTTTTCAACTTGGCTCCGCCCTCACCGTACCTCCTTCGGTCGACTAGAAGGTCCGGAGTACTCCATTCTTATGTCGTTAATATTCCACCTATTCGCACTAAGTACTTTGCTTCCTCCTTTCTGATGCGTACGGCAAAGGAATGGAATGCTCTAATGGCATCTGTATGTCCCGAAATGTACAGCGTGTATCTATTATATATTAAAAAAGCTATTAAAATATCGTTGAAGTTACGTAGTCGTTCGATTGAAGTCCTATACAAAATGGACATTCACGTATCACTTCAACGAACGTTGGTATGAGTAAAATCGAAACGTAACGACTATTGAACGACATCTTGGATTGTGACATTTGACATTTTGTCGTCAAAAGTCTATTGAAAGAACTGTCAAAATTTTAGCAGAATACTTATGACTTGTCGTTTAGAGTCGATTTAAATTCGATTCATATACCAGAATACGCTTTAACGACATTTGGATCGAACGACTTTAAAATTGGACTCGGTGACGTTCACTGTCAAACGTGAATACTAAAAAGCAGTTCAACGACTAAATCGCTACGATATCGTAACAGTTTGATTACGTGAATCACCCCCCTGGTAGTAAACGATTACATCCATAATAGTTGCAGTGCCACTCAGAGCTTTAAATCACAAAGATCTAAGGAGCATTGCCACTGCGCCCGACACCTTGAGACATAAGTTGACAAGTCCCCATGTGCCTATAAATTCACCAGCCCTTCAAAACCGGTCTGTTTAGTGGCAGACATAAGTAAGGTAGCAGTATTTCCCTGGATGAACTTTTTCACAAGGAGCTCGAGTGTTACTTGTTCATGCATATTTATCTCAGATGACGCGAAGAGAAACACAAATCGACTTTTTGACTCTAAATGCATGAGTATAACGCTTTTTCTGATCAGCTCAAGCCGATCCTACGACGATGAATATGGATTCATCACCATTAGTCTACTGCACCTACACCATTGACTACCTTAATTTCAGTGCCACTGGCTGATAATTCCGTCAATAGAAAACCTTTAAAAATAACAAAAAATGAAATTTGATGATAATGATGGAGGAGATGGATGCCGTAAGTTGAAAAATTAAATCCATAAACTAGGTTTTGACGTCTCTTTTTTAAGAAGGTAGCAATGTTTAACGGTCCAGTGTTGGTTATTATGTTGCTGGAATAATCGCTAGCGTTTATACTTTGTTAATCGACTTCAAAAAAGTAGTTTTGGGGGTTGAAGTTGCTCGCTTCCGTAGGTTTACCCTTGAGACCCTACAGGTGACCCCTGGGTGGTGCTAAAGAGCAACAACTACCGGTGGTACGCTTCGGCCGTGGCTGGTAACCACCCTTTCGACGCAATCGAGTCGCCGAATGGTTTGTCCGTGTTCCGGCTCGTGTTCGGGAGTTGCCATTAGGAGGTCGGGTCTGAACAGTTGCATTGCGTCCAACGACGAGTAGTAGCTGCTTGTACTGCCACCGTGAGCACTCGGTTCTGGAGGCTAGTGGGATACGAAGCACGGTGCACCGCTGGCCAACCGTGAGAAGTTGGGGGCTCAAGTAGCGGAAAAGCCACACGTGAAAGGCTGCCCTGCCACCCAATGAAAAATCCCGGAATGCTCCACCTTGCCAGTTAACGACCGGAGGGGAGGACTAGGTGGCCATCTCCGGGGGGGTTCGGGCGCCTCCGCAGTCTCCAAACCGATTGTATCCTCGTGTGGCAGTATGAGTTTGCTGCTTGGATGGACGACGCAATGCCTTGTTCAACTGCCTTCCACCTACCTATTTGTTTCTCCAATTTAAAATTATGAGTCGCAAAAAAGGAATACATTTTTCACAGCGATTGCACGTCCTCCCATTAAAAGTGCACCTCACCAACATCAGAGGGCTCTCTGATGTCAGTGAGGTGCATTCAAATATCAAAGCGGTCTACCACCACCTGGTAACCGATAAACCTCAGCTGCTGATCAGGTTCCTACCTCGTACCGAAGTCTGTGTACACACAGACTCCGTGATGACATCTGTGTCAAGCGTCTCAAGAACCTTGAAGCACCGAGTTTTTCTATTTTGTGGCTTCTGGTTGACACTGGAGTTACCCAAATAGTATACTGCTGTGTCTACCGCTCGCACAGTGGAGATTAAGAGACAACCAAGCTGTTCCAACATCTGAACGAGACGTCTGATGAGGCTCAGCTCAGGTATCCAGTGGCGCAACTAGTCATTCTGGGGGACTTTAATGCACGCCATCAAGAATAGTTGTTCCCATACCAGATGACCGATCATGCTGGGAGAGAGACGCGAAAACTTGCGTTATCGCTAACCCTTTCCCAGCTCGTCAGTGGTGCCATAAGGATCTCAGATGTTGAGTCTCATACGGCTAATCGCTTGGACCTACTGCTAACACGTGATCCAGACCGATACTCGGTGGTTGTGGATGCACCATTAGGTACCTCTGACCACTGTCTAGTGAAAGCTGTATCCGTATACTCCCCACCCGTTCAAGGCCCCAGTGGTACGAGACGGGTGTGGCGATACAGGTTAGCAGATTGGGACGAAATGCGCCATTTTTTTGCTTCATATCCCTAGCAGGCTTGTTTCACTTCAGGAGATTCGTCGAGCTATGCTGATGCTGTAGTTGAGGTCATGCGATTGGGCATGGAGTATTATATACCATACTTCAATGTACCCAATGGACCCGGAGCTCGTCTGTGGTTTAACGCTGACTGTAGTCGTGCTGAAGCACAAAAACAGTCTGCGTACCAAGCTTGGGCAGATGCTCGACTACGCAAAGCTCCGAATACTCGGAATCTAAAGAAAGCCTTTAATAAAGCCACCAAGAAGAGCAAAAGTATGTTACGTAGGGCCAAGTTCGACCATGTGCGCCGCATAGGGGCCAAGTTTGCCTCTTTTCCAGCAGGCAGCAAGTCCTTTTGGTCACTGGCCAAAGCAGTCGAAAAAAACTATAGTTGCCACTCATTACCATCTCTGCTGAGGCCAGATGGCTCGCTGGCCCATACTGAATATACATAAAGAGGTACTCAGAACTCTGCGAAGTCTAGACGTGAATAAAGCCAGCGGGCCAGATGGACTTCCAGCAATAGTCCTGCGTAACTGTGCACGTGAGTTGTTTCTAATTCTCACACGCCTGTATCGCCTCTCGCTTAAACTGGTGTAGTTCCCAGGTCATGGAAGCTTGCAAATGTGAAACCAGTGCCTAAAAAAGGAAGCAGAGCTGACCCTGTCAACTATAGACCTATGTCACCTTCCCTCTTATGGGCTTCCCACTGACCTTTGCAATTGGATTTCGTATTTCTTGAGTGCATGTTCGATTCGAGTGGTCTTAGAAGACTACTCTTCCGAACATAGGGCGATAGATACCGCGGAGTTCCTCAGGATTCTATACTATCTGCAACCCTCTTTTTGCTGCATATAAACGACATGTTGATTCCAGGTACCTTTGGGTATGTTGATGACAGCACAGTTGTGGACAGGTACTTGATCAATACAAGGGTCAGTGGAGAAGAAATCCAGTCTTGTCGAGAGTCCATGGTTAGTCGTTTGAATTTGACACTTAAGGCAGTCACCGATTGGGGCGATGCCAATCTTGTCAAATTTAATGCTACCAACATGTAGGCGTGTCTTTTCTCCACTAAACGGAGTCCCTTTCACCTGACTCCGACTTTTCGTGATATATCCATACCGATAGCCGACCATCTTTACCTACTTGGAATGGACCTGTCATCCAATCTGAACTTCGTCAGTTACATTGAATTCGTGGCCAAAAATGCAGCATTGGCATCTTTTCCAAGGTGAGGCAATACTTAAATACCGGGACAGTTGCTTCAGCTGTACCAAGTACAAGGCCGGTCGTGTATGGAGTAATGGCTCTGCTAAATACCAACTGGACACCTTGGATTCAATAGACAAGCGTGCTAAGAGGCTTATAGGCGACTCGGAACCAGTAGAGGCGAAGCTACAGAGCCTTGAACACCGCCGTAGAGTTGCCAGCTTATCAGCTTATTATTATTCTACAGGATATATCACGGAGAGTGTGCGATGGAATTGTATAATTTGATTCCGCCTTCCCCTTTTCAATCATCGGAAGACTAGACGTGGGCGGGGGTTCTACCCCTATGTTGTGGATATTCCCCGGATTCGCACGAAGCGCTTCGCTTCCACATTTGTATGGCGAGCGGCTAGGGAGTGGAATTCCCTGTTTGCAGACTTTTTCCCCGAACGCTATAACTTGGACCTTTTCAAGGCGAGAGTGAACAGGCATTATTTATGTGTGCATCCTACATCCTCGACCTCATCGTCACTTTCCATTAGGTGAGATGGAGGTTAAATGCGCACTTATGTTTTATAAAAAAAGGAGATTCTCAAGTCGACTCTATTTTTTTGTGAACCAATGTTTTTCTGTGAACCAATTTTGATAATTCTTTATTTG